AAATAATAATAACATAAATAATTAAATTAATAATATTCATAATTAAATTCTATAAAAAAAAAAAATAATTAAAACTTTTTAAGCTCCATATTCAAGTTATTTTATTTGTATTATTTGCATTAATTTTGATTGATGCATAATTTTGTGAAAGCCATTAAAATATTATCAAAATATATTTATAAATAACTATCACAAAGCCATATTGCCTTAAGGCTTTACCAATTATATGATATTTCGATCGATTTATATAACTGTCGTTTGGTCTAGATACAATATGATGATGTATTGTGTTATAATAGTCAGTCGAGCTACCTGAAACGCTCTCAACAAAAGTTCAAATGTGATTAACCTTTTATGTTTTGATGTCATCAAATTGATGTCAGGCCAACGAGAGCATGGCAAATGCTAAAGCATGGCAAGTCGAGACTTAAAAATATAAACATCTGCTGATGTACGCGGCACCTTGTCGATGTATGTGTGTATAGGAAAAACTGGTTGAGTTGACGGCTGTAGATTTTAATGGCGAGCAGAAATGTGCGCCGAGATGTCAATATCAAGGTCGGTTACAAAACAACAAAACAAACACTGGCCCGATCGATAAGTGCGGCGGTTTCCTTGTGGTCCAATGCGAGAAATCAAAAGTGTTTTATGCAAATGAGCTAAGCCCATAAACAAAAAACATCAACAAATACAAAATGCACACACGTCAAATTTGCATTGACATTAACAACAATAACAACAATAATAATAATAATAATAATAGCAGCGGCAGCAACAATACTGCGAATTTGTGTGTAAACAAAGCGCTAAAAGCCACGCCCCAATGCCGCCCAGCACACACACAGATTAAGCGTGGACACAAACCACAAAACCAAAACACACAGACGAACCGCAGCCACAATTTAGTGGGTCAAGTTGCCTTCAACATGTGATAAACGAAAATTATGTTTCAGCTGCTAATCAGCGCCAAAAAAAAAAAAAAAAAAAAAAAATAATAAAAAAAAGTTAAAATATGTATTTTGCCAGTTAGCGTAGCAGTAAAAACATAAACGAAAACCTTGCATATCATATTGACATAGGTCTCGAACAGCCAACTCTCATTTATTTAATAACAGTTTTTATCATTTATTTACTCAGTCTCATTTTGGTTTGTTCAAATGGCAGCTCATAAAATAAATATTTAAATATTTGTGTAATATTTCCATTGCAACTCGCTATTCAAAGTTAGTTTTCCAACTATTCGCTGGTTGAGGCATGATAAAAAAAAAAAGAAAAATAATTTTAATATGCCAGCGCTGTTGTTGGCGGTGGCTGCGCAGCTCCGAAATTTCAGTGAATTACAGTTGCCAATAAAATAATTTAACAAACATTTGATGCGATTACGCAAACAGTTCGCAGCAAACATTAAAACTCAAATTAATTTGCTATGACTTGTGTACGACTGTGAGCCATAATACCAAATTATATGCAGTCGAATGTGTGCTGCGATGCTAGGTCTATGCAGTGTTATTATAAATAGGAGCTCATTTGAAATTTAAATGGGAATTAATTAAGTATTTAAGTAGACAGCGACTTTATCAAGTCAATGTGGTAGCGTTTATAATTCTACCGATATCGTTAATTATTGTTTAAAATATTGCTTTTGATTAAATAAAACTAAATATATAAAACAAAGCAATAAAATATTTGTTATTTTTTTTATAAAAAAAAAAATTTAAAAAAAAATAAATACTATAAATTTATGAAGTTATTTGAATCTAATTGGTTCTCGCTTTGCTTCATTACAACTCACTAAAAATATCTTATTGATTTCCTATTTTATTTCATGAAAAATATTTAGGTTGTTCTTTAGAACAAAATACAAAAATCATTACTCTCATTTATTTTTCTTTTAAATATTTTTATTTTTTTTTATTTATTTTTTTAAATTTTTTTATATTGATTTTTTTTAAATATTTTTTTTATCCTATGTTTTTATATATTTATTTTTATTAATTTTTTCCTAATTAATATTTTACTTTTAATATTTTGAGAAATTTTGCAAATAGCTTAATGGTAATATAAATTCAGTGAACATCTTTAATTCACGCCTAACTGTGCCAGAGTCACTCGTTATTTGATCTGATAGCAGTTTCATGATAAATTTAGAAACAAGTCAAGACTTAAAGTGTGTAATTAGTAATAAGTAATTTGAAATTTCACAAGCATTCAAGAGATAAAGCTTGGCTGCTTATATAATAAGATTTATGAATGGCAATTTGCAGATTTTATCAGTGGACAGCAAACAAAATGTAAATGCTTGAATGCAGCTTGTTGCATTTTGGATTGCCACACATATTTTGCGTTGACTGCAGCGGCATTTCACAACACTGGTGGTGTAGCACGGCCCCGTAGTGACAGCCCCAGCGACAGCTGCCTGCCATGGGGATTGCCCGCCTCAGCACAGCCAGCGAGATGCGACTGCAACTTCGCAGTTTTATTTTTTATGCTTCTTCTTCTATTTCTCTTGCATTTTTGAAAACTTTGCCAATGTGCGAATGTGGCTAAAGCTAATATTGGCTGGGCCGCTTTTGGCCGGCTCGAAAAGTGTGTCAAATTGAGTAGTCGCCGTTTGTTTGCCAAGAAAAACAAAAGGGGCCGGCATGGCCAGCTGTTGAAATAACACAGCTCTGGCCTTTTATTCTTTGCGACCACAAAAGAAATTGCATAACAAAGGCGCTAGGAAATGGACAAGAAAGAGAGAGCCAAAAAAAAAAACACCTTAAATTTATGCCTAAACATTGGCAAAAGCGTGAAAAAGGAAAGAAATATTTCAGTGGCTCAGTTTGCGGTACCACTTCCTCATGTTGGCCAACCAGCCGGCAAGTCAGTTGGCCAATGCAATTGGCAATACCTATTTAATGAGCATTTGTTGCTGTTGCTGCCGCTGCCTCAGCCGCTGGCCAGAGTCTCAGCTGTAGCTACTCCGATTCGCTGCCAAGGTTAATTAAAATGCCAAACAGCTTCAACTGTGCTTTTTATGCATGTTTACGCGCGCTCTCCCTCACACACACTCTCTCTCTTCCACTCTGGCTCTCTTTCTCTTTGTTTTACTCTCTGGTTGCTGTAATCGCGTGTTTTTATTATTAATTTTGCAGCTATTGTTTTATAAGCCAACAATTATTTCGGCACCAACTTCAACGATTGTATAACTCCAAAGACTTATCAAAATTATCACGAAACATTTAAAATCTATAAACATTATGCAGAGGCGGAAAAAAGCGCGCCACTGGGGGCACTCGCTATGCTCGTATGCCGTCATACGCCGCGTATGCGTAATACGTGACTCTGCTGCCTGCTGCGTCACATTCGGCTGAAATTCTAAATCTGATGTTTATCATATAAACAATTGAAAACTATTCAATTAAGCTCTTCTTCTCTCTTCGATGCGCCTTTGCGTGTTAATAAAGAAATTTTAATTGGCATGCGAAACTGCGTGGGCGGCTCCGTTTTGATGCGGCACGGCGCATGGCAATCAAAATAGTTACGAAAAGTAATTATTGCCGTAAAGGAAACATTTCATTTTATCACCTTGAAGTTTGCTTTTCATGAACATTTAAATAAGCTTTATTCATTTAAGACTATCCTCTGATATACGAGAGCATGACTATATTTTAATACTATTCAATATATGCTAGATAGTTATTATCCATGCTTCACATATTTTTAAATCAGTTTCATTTCAGCCTTCTGCTCGGTATTTGAGAAAATATCTCAGACAACAATAAAAATAAATTGAATTTCTGCAGATTCATTACGTCTCATATTCAATATCGATTATCATATTCAAATTCACAGCTAAAAAGTTAGACTATGCAGATTATTCCGTTTATTTGCCTCTCATTCTCAAGCACTCAATAATCTCTTTTAATCGCTGGCTTATTAAGTTTATTGAGTTTTGCTTGCACATTCTCTGATAGTCTTCATATCCCTTGCAGCTCATAAAATAGCTGAGCACACCAATTTGCTGAGAGCTGGAGCTAGAGTTCGAGTCGGCTGTGGGTCGACCGCAACAGGCGGCTCTGGGTGTTGCAAGCCTGGCTGGCTATGCAGGTTGTTTAACTTGTTGATGCTATAAATTAAAATTCATTAGCCCAAATTGCTGTGGTTAGGGCCCGCAGACGATGTCGCAGCTGGCGAACGAGGCGGCTCCACCTGAAGCAGCGCCGCAGAGTTATGCAAATTGGAAAAGCAGGCGGCGCATTGAAAAGGGGCAAGGGCTGGGTGTGGCCGCCGCAGCAGCAACTCAATTTCACACTGCCATGATTTGCACTTGCGATTCTAATGGAATTTCTCTTGGTTTTTTCTCGCATTGCTCCCGTCTCTTTGGATAGCCGAAATTAATACGCAAATACGGATATCCGTCGGAGACGCACACAGTGGTTACCAAGGATGGATACATACTGGAAATGCATCGCATACCAAAGAAGGGTGCCCAGCCGGTGCTGCTCATGCACGGCATTCTGGATACCTCAGCGACGTGGGTGCTAATGGGACCCAAGTCGGGCCTGGGTGAGTCTCTCTATATGTACAGCTCTTTCTACTCAACTCTATGTATGCTAATCATCGTGGCTTGCAGGCTACATGCTCTCCGATCTGGGCTATGATGTCTGGATGGGTAATTCGCGCGGCAATCGCTACTCGAAGAACCACACCAGCCTCAACAGCGACTACCAGGAGTTCTGGGACTTTACGTTCCACGAGATGGGCAAATACGATCTGCCGGCCAATATTGACTATATACTCAGCAAGACGGGCTACGAGCAGCTCCATTACATTGGGCACTCGCAGGGCACGGCCATATTCTGGGTGCTGTGCTCCGAGCAGCCCGCCTACTCGCAGAAAATCACCTCGATGCACGCCCTGGCGCCCATCGCCTACATCCACGACATGAAGAGTCCGCTGTTTCGCACCCTCGTATTATTTCTCGACTTCCTAACGGTAAATTCGGAATATGGTGCAGTCGCATCGATACGATTTAAACCAATCCGTATTTGATTTTTTCTCTGTCTATTTTTTTTTGGTCCTATTTGGCAGGCAGCGACGCGAATGCTGCGCATCACGGAATTCATGCCCAACACGAAATTTCTGGTGGACCACAGCCAGGTTGTGTGCCACGACAATGCCATGACGCAGGATGTCTGCTCGAATATCCTGTTTTTGGTCGCCGGCTACAATTCCGAACAGCTCAACAAGGTAATGTGCCCGCCGGCCACTGGCCAAAGGCCCCCAGCCAAGGGCCCCCAGCCAAAGGCCCCTAGCCCATGACTCTCTCTATCTCTCCCCCCATGTTCAATGCAATTTTCGCGTGTTTTTTCCGAAAATGTTTGCGGGCATCGATTTGAATTCTCCCATGGGCACATTCGATGCTCGCTCTTCTTCTTGTTATTGCTGTTGGTGTCCAGCTCGATTGGGGATTGTGTTCATTAAGTTGGCACTTCATTTGGCTATCCATTGCGGTACTTTGGGTGTGCTTACTGTCGATGTGATTAAGTGAGTGGGCCCCGGGCTATAGCTGCAGGTTTCTCAGCTTAACAAACTGCACGAATAAGCGAAAATCAAAGAGGGATTTCAGCTTGACCAAATGCTGCATAATATGTTTACAAAATCAAAGTTTATTTAAAAATAAATATTTGTCGTTACATAGAGCAGATAGTTTTGTCAAGCTAGCCTCTTCTTTCTTTTTCTATCTATCTTACTCACACTGTATCCTCTTCTCTCGCTCTCTCTTAATATCAGCGCCCAGAACGATCTTAGCCTCAGTCTCAATCTCAATTGCAAACTCCCAATTTTTCTTCCTCTAGCTGTGCTTCTTTCTCCTCTTCTGCCCCTCTCTATTTGCCTTTCACTCACTCTCATTCTATCATTCTCTCAGACTATGCCTCTCTCGCTCTCTTTATTCCCTCCACTACTCTATCTATACATTTCGGCAGAAATATTTCTGTCTTTATATCTTACTGTCTCTCTCTCTCTCCCTCTCTCTCTCTCTCCCTCTCTCTCTCTCCCTCTCTCTCTCTCCCTCTCTCTATTTCAATATATCTCTTACCATCCCTCCCTCCCGCTTAAATGTCTCCCTTACACATCATTAACCAAATCTCGTTGTCTACCCCAACTGACAGTTTTAGTGCCCCCTCAAATTTGAAGTTATGGCCCGCATAATGGAATGGCCCACGCCTAGGCAACTGCATTGAGTGTTATGGCATCCATTGCATAGAATGGTGTAATTCTCCACAATGCCACTGAATGCCTCAACTCTGTGCCATTGTCATCGTTGTTGCTTTGTTATACGCCTGGGGATCGAACGAACAATCAGGTTAATCAACTGACAGAGGCTGGGCGTAAGCGTTGAGCCGCCAACTAAGGGGCAATACATGCAAATTAGGCAATGTTCTAATCCTTGACTAGGTCAGCTCTGAATAGATACGGAACGGAATACTTTGGTTGCTGTCAAGGGTTACAGTTCGTATGCGTAATATTTTTGTAGAGATAGCGAAGAGAGTCCAAACAAGAGTTTGCAAAAATATATTGAGCTCACTCCATTCATACATATTTTGATCAGCATTAATATATTCTATTCTAGACTCTGTTTCCTTTTTATCAGTATTAACATCTTCTATCCTAGACTATGCTGCCCGTCATGCTAAGCCACACGCCTTCCGGTGCCTCGATCAAGCAGCTGGAGCACTTTGGGCAGCTGATGAAGTCGGGCCACTTCCGCAAGTTCGATCGGGGCTATTTGAGGAATCAGCTGGAATACAATCGCATGACGCCGCCCGACTACGATCTGTCCCGTGTCAAGGTGCCGGTGGCGCTGTACTACTCGGTCAACGATCTGCTCGTATCGACGACGGGTGTCGATCGGCTGGCCAGGGAGCTGCCGAACGTGATAGACAAGTATCTGGTGCCGATGGAGCGCTTCAATCACTTGGACTTCCTGTGGGCCATCGACGTGAAGCCGCTGGTCTACAATCGGCTGGTGCGGAACATACGACGCGTGGAGAATCAACGGGCCAAGCTGACAGCCAATTTGGCCAGCTTCCTGGCCATGCAGCTGCAGCGTCAGCAGCAGCTCCAGAATCAAATACAAATGCAGACTCAGCTACACTCAGCCTTGCCGCCCAATGTTCACTTGCCACATCGCATCGACCAGGACTTCATGATGCCAACTGCGACTGCAATGCCGCTAACAACAACAACAACAACAACGACGACGGCAGCAACGATGACAATAATAACGACAACACCCACAACGACGACAGCGACGACACAGGAAACGGCAACCACAGCAGCAGAGGATGTGATGGAGCCAACAACAACAGCAACAACAACATTTCCATTCGAGTTCGCCGCGTGATTTGTCCTCTGCTCCAGGCTCAAGGGCAAGGTTCTATAACTTGTGTAATTTCATTTGACTGTGATGACATTTTAACAATTTACGCTCTGATCCCAGCGTCTAGCTCCGACTGCTTCCCGTGTCCCTTTGGAGCAGCAGACGCAGCTACATCAACTCAGGCACGCCCAGCACCCATTCACATTCACATCATATTCTTGACTAGGCGCAAGCACAGCTCTCTTCCATCCATCCATCCGTCCATCCATCCGTCCATCCATCCACCCATCATCCGATCACAAAACACTGGAGCCCATTCGAAAACTCTATTTACCAGATTTTACCTAGTAACTACTTTCGATGTTGCTTGCCCCCGTCTGCAAGCGTTTTATTTATGTATGTGTACAAATTTATGTATTTTTAATAATAAATATAATTTTTAAGATAATTTGCAATGTTTGGAGTTTCATTGAGGAAGGAGCGGGAGTTACTGAAAAGGTGTATGAGAGCTGGGAAAATATTGTGTCGATTTATTCAGATACAAGATTTCAGTTAGTATATTTATTCTGTTATTTATGAAAATCTTACTGAAATGCAGAAAAATAGAATTGTTTTTATATATTTGGAAATACCGAATGTTATACAAGAAGAAGTTAAAAATATATTTTAAAAATATATATTAAATATATATTAAACCTTACTTTAAATTTGTAATTTCATATTGATAATCTATATTATTAAACAATATAATTATCAATATATTAATTATATTCATATTCATATATATTTTAAATTTCAGAGTTTTTTTATAAAAATGGAATTGATTAAAAATATTTAAAAAGTATGCAACAGCTTAACGCAATCACCACCTTAAATTATGCCATAAAATATGCGCGCGTTTCTGGCGCGTTTAAAAACGCGCGCACGCCACACTAAGCCATTTGATTGTTGCCACAGCTCAGCCAGCGCTAAATATTGCATTTGTGGATGCAGCTCGACATTTAATTGCAACTTAAAATGCAACTCATTTCGACAGGCGGAGCGAAAAGTTTATGCGTCGCAGCGGACAGGAGACGGCCGGGAAGGCGCCCCGGGGCAGCTGTTCCAAGATGCGTTTCAAGCCACCCATCCGGGGCCGGCAGAGCTGTGCACTTTGGCGACAGGCTGTGGCTGCATGCCAAACGAATTGCCATCATTTGTTGTCGTCTTTAGAGAGTCGCAGCAGTGGGAGGCGCTTTCAGGACTGTGACTGCTTTTATATTGCATTGCGTATCAGCTGTGCGCAAACTTACCTGGCGCACTGTCACTAAATAAACACGCAAACAGCCGCAGTGCTTTGCCGGGATAAATTCGAAACTCTCTGCCTCTCTATCACTCCCACGCTCTCTGTCTCTTTTTATCAGCATGCCAGCTACACTCTGCCCGTTAGCAGGCAAAATAAAAAATATTGACTTGACGACTCAACGGTACGCGCTTCATCCGGGCACTGTGCGCCACAAATTGCATTCGTCTCTCATTGAAATTGAAAAAGTTGAACAATACGATGAATATTTTAAATATTGCCCAGTTGAAGATAAACAATCAACTATATATTATTTTGTATATAAATATATGTTATATTTTATATATACCGATATATATATAACATTTTTTTTATATTTATGATGGTATTATACCTGCATTAAGTAGCAGAAATAGCTTAAGGAAATACATTCATATATTATACTCTATTAAAACTTTACAGCTGTTGTTTGAGTTGGGAGTGATATTAAAGTGTTGAAACTTCAAGAATATTACTATAAAACTTTGAGTAAGTAATTTACATAAGTAGTAAAACCAAACTACGTATAGTTTCTCTAATAATATGTATATTGTGTATTATAAGACTTGTTGGCCAATTTATACAATATTGATTTCCTCTCTCTTGCTCTTGCCAAGTTATATAATCTTTATATTAAAAAAATTGTTATACATTATATATAAAATGTTAAATATGAAGTTTGCTAAAAGCTTTAAGACCAGTTGACACAATGTTTGATAATTTACTTTATTTATTCTTTTGCTCTCTCTCTCTCTGTCTCTTTCTCTCTCCCTCTCTCTCACTCTCTCTTTCTCTCTTGCTGTTGCTACAATGGCGGAATGTGCAACTGACACAAATACAAGTTTAATTAGTTTCAGTTGTGCAGCCCACATGTTTGCATTGCCTCTAACTAACTTTTGTAGACATCAAGTCAGTCTCTTTCTATATATACCTCACACTCTCCATCTCGCTCTCCCTCTGTCTCTTTCTACTGTGTTGTCTCTTGTTTATCAGACTTTTGCGTACATTTTGTGTTCTCTTTATTTGCCTTTGCACACAAGTAGCACAAGTTGCTTCGATTTGCCAGTGCCACGCCCATGCTGTTCACTTTCCCACTGATTCCCTCTCTCTCTGCCTCTCTCCCTCTCTCTCTTTGTTCTTGTGTAAACAAGGCATTAAGTACAACAAAATAATTAAAGTCAATTAGTGGTGCTTGCCGTGGCACATTGCGAGTCCTTGGCTTGGCTTTCCTCTTGACTTCCTTTGGCACATAATGACATTGTGTTAGCCTCTCGCTAACGTCATTAGCTGTAGCTGCACAGCTGCAGTGCATTTGCTTCTGGAGAGTAAATATACAGCATCATAATTCACTTGTAATATTCTATGGAATTATTGTTAAGCGAGCTGCCCCTCAATGGGCTTTAAGTATTTCATTTAAGCCAAGTCTATCAATTGAAATCCACTTGTGGAACAAAGTTAATATTAATTCCGGCCACTGGCAGCTACACAGGGCAGGACGGGGAGCTTCCCATTAATCAGGTATTAAATGCTGTCAACGCTGCTCTTTATGCCTTTTTGCCAGTTAATTGAATTGCCAGCACAAACAATACAATTTTAACAATGCTCAAACTCTGCAAACGACACACAAATAAAAAAAAACACACACACTCACACACAACATTTTTGTATGCAATTATAATGCGCTTTTATGTTTTCTCTTCATAGTATTCGACATGAAAACTTTTTCAAGTGGAAGGTGAATTGCGTTTTTAGAAACAGTTTCAAGTTGTTTGGAACATTTGTAGCTCGAGCAGCTGAAGTGCTGCTCAGTGCCAATACAAAAGCGGACAATCCTGCGGGGAGCCAATTGTTATCCAATAAATTCAGTTTTTGAAAAGCTTTTTATACTCACTCATTTATTCGAAGAGCCAATTTGAAGACCAACCAAGTTCAGAAAGCCACGGCGGATATGTCCACGCCTAATAAGAGATCGGATCTGAAAATATAGTGACTTTTTCAATTCCGCTATATTTTAGGCACTATTGATGCTAAAGACCTAAAGCTTTGGTTGACCACCCAATATCAAAAACCACGCCCACAGGGACATGACAAACCACAGTAGTTTATATGTCCTACAGTTTAAGAGCTAGAAGCATCATTCGGACAATTGAGTTACTGCTGATTTCCTATATCGATGACCCAAAAATAATTGTTATGTATATTTATGTTATATATATCGAAAAATACCCTGTAATTTTCACAATTTTTAGTGAATGATTATTCTACAGCTGCTAACGCCCGACTGCAGCTTTATTACTCACTTATATATACATATATATATAAATATATGCTCAAGATTTTAAGTAAGACCTATCTTCTTTATTTAGTTGCATTTAGTCTGAGCCCTGTTGATATTATCCCATTGACTAATGAAATGAATAACTGATCTTATCATGATCATAATGGGGCGAGATGCGCCATCTTCACTCGAAATTAGTTTGCACTCAAAACCCACCGAACGAGCCTGACCTCGAGTGGATTGTATAAATTAGAGTGGTTTGGGCTTGCTTTTTCATTTGGATTCTCACCTTCTAAGAGTCAACAAGATATCCATCTAGCATTCGGAGCATTATGAAGATCTTCATCGTGCTGGTCCTGTTCATTGCTGCTGCGGCGGCGCTGCCTCAATTTGGATTTGGTGGCCCGCAATTTGGTGGCTCAGGATTTGGTGGCTTCGGATTTGGTGGCCCGCGACTTGGTGGCTTAGGATTTGGTGGCCCGCGATTTGGCCCAGGATTTGGTGGTCCTGGACGTTTTCGCGCCCGTATCGGCGGTATATCTGCGTCAGTCTCGGGGAACTTTTACAATGCCGGCTTCCACGGTTAAAGCCATTTCGTCTGTGCCGCATGCACCGACACAAAATATTCACTTAGTTGATATTAAAATATGTTAAACAAAACCGTGAATCAAAATGTATTTAAAGAGTGTATTTTGTATATTGGATTCCTTAATGAGTAAAGTAAAAGTAAATTCTGGGCTTCAATAGATCAAGTTTCCTTTATGGAAAAACGAAATGCTAGAAAAAATCTCTGAAACAGTTTTAGTAGAACTTTTGTTAAAATATCCAAATCATTCAATTAAAACTGCATCATTTAAATTATTTCTCTTTAACTTTTGAGTGTAAATATAAAAGAGATATGCCAAAACGCGAAACATTTCCGCTCTCTATTCTTCAATTATGGCAAAAACAAACATATTAAAAAATTGTTATTAAAATATAAATATTTTGATTGTAGTGAAGCTCTTTGATCTCAGCCGCGAAATAATGCCCTTCGTAATCAGTTCATCATAGCCAACAACTAATTAGAAGTCAAGAAAACCGGTATATTGGATGCAAGTACTACTAATACTCTGCATGCCATTTATCATACACAGCCCACTTATGGAGCCAGACTTAGTAGGGTTCAAGCACTTTGGTCCATTAGTTAGATGTTCATTGATGTTCCATTATACATTACTCGGTTGCAGTGGGGCTGTCCACCTCCTAATAAATAATCTCATCTTCAACCGATGTCCTCAACGTTACAAAATATATATATGTATGTATATATAGAAAAAAGCAAATACTCATAGTGAGAAATGGCTCATCTCTTTATCTTTAAAAAAAATTATTTGTCAAATAATATAAATAGTTTTGCATAACTTTAGGGCTAGTCAAAGTCAATAATAATTAATATACAAAATATCATTGCATAGCTCAAGGGGCAGTTGTT